CATCAGTAATCTCTAAGGAACCAGAAAACAAAAGAGGTGCCAGAACACTGAGCTTGGGCAAAACTCTAACATTTAAGGAGCGAAGTTGGATTCCAGAAGCCACAGACCAGGGGATTTACCTTGTAAGCCTAGAAAATTTCAGAAATGGACTCTTAAGGTTTTACATCAGAAAGCCATGCTCATTATGAAGACATGGGTAATTGTGAATTATGAAGAATTGCTAAGTTAGAATAGATGCTCTCTTCTGCTTTCCCCACTGTGTGCACAGCCAGGAATGCCCTGCTCTATCCCCGCTCCTGGGCAGTGGTTAGGGCAAGAAAACAAATGTAGTTATCAGGCTTCCAAGATTGACTGGATCCTACCTAGGCAAGTTTACACTTGGCATCAAGAGAGCTTCTTCCTTGGCATCCATCCCAGTAAGTAAAACAGCACAGATCGGCAAGCCTGTGACTTTTTACCCAAATGGCCCAGAGTTGGGAGAGAAACAATACGGGCAGCAATACTTTGCCATAATAGTACTTACTATTAGAGAACAGTGACAGCTTCTACTACCATAACTCCCCTGGGGTGGGGGGAGAAGGAGCCTGATGTGTTTAAGAAAACACAGCTAACTCTTTCTGTTCCTAGCCAAGAAACCACTTCCTGTAGGAAGGCTCCCCTAACCCCAAGGCTACACACACCTCCATCCCTCTGTGGTTAAATCACAGCACAGCACCTACAGGGCTCTGTTAGAATCACCCTCTTACCCATCTATTTTAACTTTGAGCCCTGTGATGACAGGGGCAGTCTCTTGTTCACTGTTATATCCTTAACCTGGCAACAGTAGATAATTAATGCTTGCTGAATAGTAAATGTTGTATAAACCATACAATGTATTTTGTCAACGCAGTATAGTCTGTCTTTCCCCAAGGGTGAGTGACTAAGCTAGGGGTCAGATCTACCTCATAGAAAACGTGGTGTTCATGGGGGTTTCCAGCACCTCTGCAGGACTCTGCATTGCCCAAGGGGGCACTCGCGTGTCATTCAGTGTAAGATTTTAATAGATTCTAGGCTAAAACTTAGGACCCATAGCCAATTTAGGATATAGAATTAAAGGTGACAGCAGGTAATTGTGATTCACAGATGAGCCAGCAGAGTCCATTCCAGTTACGGTGATGCTTCCTTGTCCTTTATTCATTCGTTCATCTTATGTAATATGACTCACCTCCACCCCCCCACCCCCGTCAGATTTATTGATCACTTACAGTGCTCTAGGACTAGGTTGCTGAGAATACAGAGTTCTGCTTCCCGGGCACTCAGATGGTGATAAGGAAAAGGCGTACATGTACTTCCAACTTTGTATTCGACTGGGTACTCTAAAACACACAAAGGGCTGTTGGACCAGGGGGAGTGATCATTGTCCTAGGCATTGGAGAATGGATAGAAGGAATTTACTAAACGTAGGGGAGGCGAGAGGAAAAGGGACATTTTAGAGAAGTGATTTGTAAGCTGCAGTTTTCCTCTCCTCGTGATACAAAAACCTATTATCTAATGGCAGCCTGGGCCTTCCCCAGTGTGTTCTGCAAGAGGGAGCTTTGACACCTCAACTAAAGGCACATGGATTCATATAGCTTCTCGTTCTGATTCAATTAATCTAAAAAACAAACTGGAAAAGCTTGTGACTCTGGGTTATCTGTATTCTGAGTAAAATGTTCACAATATGGTATTTATGATGAAGTAAATTAGTAATATCTCAAATACAGAAATATTTTATAAATATAGTTTTATTACTTGGAGGTACATACAAAAATTCAAACACAGTTTTAAAAAAATAACAGTTGCCAAGCAGAGGTCCTATCCAACCAGTTTTAATGAACACATAAAACAGTTATAATCAGCATAAAACAATTTTAAGTCATGAAACAACTTATTGTCCTCAGGGTCTTTAAATATTGGACTTAAAAACTGGTTTTTGTTTTATTCTTTACACCTGTTTAAATCTTTTCCCTAAATATAGACTACTAACATTTCAGTTTGGTTCATGAGATTTTCATTCAGAAAAATAGGTAAAACCCTTTACTAGAATTATTTTGAAAACTGAAATACAGTATGTCCATTTCTACTCTTCTATTGCTTCACATTCTCCATGGTTTCTCAAAAATCCCAATAGTTGCTAACAGAAAAAGCACTTGTAACTTCAGCAGCTCTCTGGAATACTGAAGTTTGGGCCTAAGAGTCCTGAAATTATTTAAGGAGGCAAGATTTTCCTCTCTCTCTCTCTCCTCTTTTGTTCTGTGATTTTCTTTGCGGCCAGCCAGACTGTATCTCCTTGTCAGAGAAAAAAATAAAAGTTCAGTTACTCTGCTTTTCCTGATTGTTAATCCATTACTGTTTTATCCATTCTTTTTTGCTGTTGGGTTTTTTTTGTTTTGTGTGTGTGTGTGTGTGTGTGTGTGTTTGTGTTTCCCCATGCCTTCTTGGCAACTTGAGCATTCTCTTCAAATTTAAGTTCATTCTGAGCTTTAACATTTCAGTTATACATCTCATTCTCCTCTTTTTGGCCTTTATCGTGCCAGTTTTTTCTTCTTTTGTACATGATTTTTGACAACTTGACTTCATCAGAGAGCTCTGAGATGCTTTAGATCAGGGGTGGGCAACCTTTATTCAGCCAAGGACCATTTGGATATTTATAACATCATTCGTGGGCCATGTAAAATTATCAACTTAAAAATTAGCCTGCTATATTTGGTCATTTAATTAACTCACCCCTAATGCCTTGGCAGGGCCAGACCAAATAAATGGTTTTGAGGGCCTTATGTGGCCCTTGGGCCAGATGTATAGATGCCCAATCTCTAAATGTTCAGAATTTCATATAAAGTTTTCATCCTTTTATGGCCCCTTACTACTGGAACAATTTTTGAAAAACTGGAAAAGGGTCTGCTTCTTGTTCTGGTTTTGCACTCAACTGTGTTCTTGTCTGGTCTTTCATCCCCTCTTCACAGCTGAGGAGCCTGTGGCTCAAGATAGACTGGATAAAATGAGAAGATTTCCACCGGCAATACTCCAATTCATGGTACAGAGGGGAAGGAGTCTAAATTGTGAGTTCTAGATTTCTGGAAGTTCTCTTTATTCATCCAACTGGTGATAAATCCCTATGGAACCTATAGCTTTGCCATCTTTTGTATCTATTCCTGTCCATCTCTGCTGTCACTTAGTTCTGGCCATTGCCTCTCCGCTGCTAGACTCATTTTATTATACCCAGATCCGCTGCCATAGTATTCTTTCTCAGAATTAAATATGAACATACTTCTCTGCTTAAAATCTGTTGATGGATCTCTATTGCCTATAAGGCAACAGCACAAACCCTAGCTTGGCATACAAGGCCCTGCAGAATCTGCTGTCACTTCCCTAGCCACCTCCCCACCCACCACACACTAGCTCTGTGACAAGAACTTATTTTCTGTAATACATTTTGCTGTTTTGCACTTAAGCTTGTTAATGAGTTTTTATAAATTGTCGCAAATTCCTGATAGGTGCCAAGTCCTTCAGGGGTACATAAAGTACCCGAGGTCATTTTGCATCCCATTCATTCAAGAAACATTTTGATGACGACTGCTGAGTATCTAGAAATGCTAGTTATTGGAGATATGGACATAAAATTCAGTATCCTTACCCTCGGTGGCTTCAGTCTAGAAAAGATAATGGTAGTGGCACCAAGTCCCAATATGAGTAAATGCTAAATAACGCAACCTCAAATCCACTCACTTTTTTAACAGCCACCAGTATCTTAGATCACAATGGACATGTGTTCCTTGAGGCTTTTCAAATTAAATGCTCTCAAGCCAGGGATCTGCAACCCAATACTTGAGTGTTATCTTTTATTTTTTAAAGACAATTATAAGATTACAAATTATTCCAGTTAATTGCATATGCTACTTATGGTTTTGTGCACTATAGCTTGTTGACTATTTGTGAATTTTCATTCTGACCACCTCAGATTTGGTCCATGCTCTGACCTAAAAACTACAACTCTGATTTCAAAGTTATTGATTAAAAGTAATGAAGATCCAACCTTTAGGAAGCTGTCCTGCTTTTCTAGTTAATCTGATAAAATACACTAAATATACCCCTTATCACCTTACTGATGACATCTATTGTTCTGAGTGGAATAATGGATAAGTCATGCATAAGTAAGACTTCTAGGCTGATTTTTAAAAATAACAATCATTAAATATCCATTATAAATAGTCACTTTATTTTGAAAGAATTGGAAGATGTTACATATATTACATACTACATATAATGGCACATGTCAGCCTTTTAAGCTTAAAAATAATCTCTCCCCAAACTGGGATTGACTTAGACTCCAAATATAAAATGACTCTTGGCCTATAGCACCAACCCAAGCCCAGAGGAAAGCCAATGTTGAACCTGTCTGTCCTCTGGCACTGGGCTTCCTGATATGATACTGAGGGTCCTCGCCCTCTGTTTTTGTTCCCTGGCAGTCCTGAGGCCTGGCACAGGGACCCATCTGACTGTACACTGCAGGCCTGGAGATCAGAGAATCTAGAGGGTAGGGTCCTCTGATAGTGTCACAATGTAAAAAACTAAAAACTTATGTGCCTATTGTCTTCATTTTTGACCTATACAATTCATAACAAGATTACAAGAAAGGAGGAGGTTAGAATTATTGAAGTACAATTTGCTGGTTTTTCTCTTTGGAAATTGAAGTGTCATGATCAGAGGAGCCTTAAAAGTCATCTAGTTCAATACTGGTAACCTGCTCCACTAGTATTTTCCTTTCCCAGGTTTAGGTATAATTCAGTTAGACAAACACACAGAAATTTAATAACACCTTTCATTTCCTTTTTCTTAATTCAAGGAGAATTCCTGCCAAATGTTCTGGCTTATGGTTCTTCTCCTCTTCAAAGTATGTTTAAGTTACACATTAAGAATCCAAAATATACCCCTATGGAATTTTCATAAGCAATAGTCAACCAATCAGTAAAACACAGTACACAGTGTGGAAATTTTAATTTATTCCCCACCCAAGTATCCAGAATATGTGCCCCTTTAACTTTGAGAAATGTGATAATGAAAATACCAACAGAACTGATCATATGTAATGAGAAGAAAAAAAGCACATAGTACACAGGAAACATCCCTAAGTCCTCCCTGATCTAGTAGTGCGAGTTGATGGTTGTTTCTGGTAATGTCACCTTTCACTTAATTTCTAAAAATTTTACAGGACAGATTTAAAGTAATAGGCCTCTGATTCTTGTTTGTTTGTGGTTTTTTTGTTTTGTTTTGGACCCTACAAGAGTTTTTAAAAGAGGCTATATTAAGTGACAATGCATTCTGAGTCGGGGGAGAAAAAAAATTAAAAACCCAAAACTTCTTTCAGTTTATTCAAAATAAAAATACACATAGAATTATGAAAATATAGGTTTACTATTTCCACCACGTTGATGCTGCTGTTTGAAAGGCTTTCAAATTGTTTTTCAAGTTTTTAAAGCTCATCTCGATCTCTCAATAAAGTATACCTATATTCGCTGGGTGCTAGTTTCTGGAAAGAGCTCTCGGGGGGACTACTTGCTACATCCTGGGCGTCCTAAAGAAAAAGAATAAAACATTTTTATATCAATATATTTTATGGAGTTATAGTATTTCAGTAAGAGCATTAGATGACTGGTAGTTGCCCTATAATCAATAAAAGGTAGCTACTCTGTGCCAAAGATAAAGAGTTAAGTTTGAAATCTTGCTTTCCCCATTTCTCCAGGGCAGGGCTGCCACAAAGCCACTAAATATGGACCTGTTGACAGTTCCTGTGGTGCAGAGGAAGGAAACAAAATACCTGACACCTGGGCACATTCCTAGAATATTCTATAGAGACAGCACAACTCTTGACTAAGTTGGCATGAACCCTCCCCTCTTACAAATGACTAAGAAAATTAAAGGCACCTATTCTGTAGCCAGAATTACAATTACCTGTATGCCAGAAATGATAAAACTAAATTAACATGAGGAAAATAAACACTTCAATATAATACTTCAAGAAATTAATTTCTGCATTATTTTACTTGTTCACATACAGTAGATAAAAATACAGTGGAATTATAAGAGTGACTTCCAAGAATTTCTAAGAAAAGGCAGTGTATTCTATATTTTATTTCCACACTATAAGCTCTTCAAGAGCAAGCATGATTGTCATTCTTTTAATATCCCCTGTAGTTAACATAGGCACATAGTACATATGTTACATCCTATATCTAATGGCACAGTTGCATTATAATGGTAAACAACGTGCCTACAAACTTCCCATATAACTTGGCCATGTTTCACTTCCCCAATATATTTTTTATTTTTTGTTGTTGAAATATATGTTTGGTTTAATTTAGCTGAAATTATATTACTATAAACAAGCATGTATTTAATGCCATTAGTGCACAAAGATGACAAAATATAAAGAATTCAACAGTCTAATGGAGAAGTTGAAACAAATCAGGATAATACAATAATGATAAGCTACATCCTTTCGTAATATGATAAAATACTAAGCAGGCTGACTTTTCTGATGAAAACAATCACCTGGATTATTGCCAACAATGTGCCTGCTTCTACAGTTGCTTAATTATGAAAGAAAAGTTTGATTGAAGATTTCAAGGAAAAAGCACGTCATCAGATTCCCAAAGGGAACTCTTGACTCTCAACTTAATTTGACTCAAAGTGAAGAAAATTTCACTTAGTCTTTATTTTTCTTTGGGCACAAGAGTAGATTGAAGTTTTGAACATATAAAATAGAGTTTGGTATATATCATCTTCCCTCTTGGTATAGTGGGGGATATAAATCAATAATGAATCAAAATGCAAATTGAGGGGTAAAAACTCAGGTTTTTAGAAATATATATACATTAAATACAAAACGTCAAGCATTCTAAATCTCAATTGCAAAGCTGCATTAAACTAAGCTTTTAAAAATGTATTTTTTTATTGATTTTTTACAGAGAGGAAGGGATAAGGCAAGAGAGTTAGAAACATCGATGAAAGAGAAACATTGATCAGCTGCCTCCTGCACACTCCCTACTGGGGATGTGCCCACAACCAAGGTACATGCCCTTGGCCGGAATCGAACCTGGGACCCTTCAGTCCGCAGGCCAACACTCTATCCACTGAGACAAACCAGTTAGGGCTAAACTATAAGTTTTGAGCATTATGAATACTGTATTGGTAAAGGAGGCTCTTAGGATGATTTGCAAGAATACCAAATTATTTTCTTCATAGTGAGGTCAATCTTCCAGCCACAGAGGACGGCCTGAACAATTAATGGAATCCACTGATTTCACTGATCTATCTACTTCCATTTCCTATCTCCTACTTCTATTTGAAGCCAACTATCTTCACTCCTTTCATAGCCATATTCCACAGATGGCATACTCAGACCAAAAAACTATACTGCAACATTCCTGTAACTTTTCTGAAGGCCTGAAATTTTAAAAATTAATTTTAAAAGGAACATAGTTTGTACATTATCTAGAGTCTGTTGAAAAAGAAAAAAGCTCCCCCTGAAAAGCATGAGTGCTACCTGTCCTTGGGCTGTGTCAGTTGGGTCAGGACCGTGATGGAATTCTCTGTGAAGTTTTCCAGAATGTAAGTCAAACACAAACTGCTTGAGTCTTCCAGGAATTCTAAAACCAAAATCAAATAAAAATTTAGCTTAAGCTATTAAAATGGACTTACCTCTTATCAACTTCACATAATTTTTTAAAAATTTTATTTATAATCCCACCATCCTACCGTAACTATTACAGACCAGGTATATGTCGAACATTTTTATACAGCTGTAATCTTATCGAGATACTCAGTTTTGTGTTCTAATTCCTGCACTTGTTACATAGAAAATTTTCTATGCTTTCCATTTTCACAGATGCATCAGTCTGTCAAGATGTTATCCTAAAACTTACTTAACCATCCCTTATTGTTGGGCATATATATTTTTTCCTGAATTAATGTAACTAAAAAACCAAATCACACTGAAAATAACAGGGCTTGGGAATATTAGCCACTCAAAACTATGTAGCTTTATAACCAGAGTCCTACACAAAGCCTAGAACAAAAATACTAGCACTGCTTAGCCTCCACCAGCAATGGAGCCTGTGTCAGCCAGATAATCCTCCGTGGCTGTAACCTGGAGCTTCTGAATCCTTTTTGAGAGGCAGGCCCTTGAGGGCATTTACGGCCAGCAGAACCAGAACCAGTTTTATCAAATAATCTAAGGCATGGTGTAGCTTTTTCATGTGTGTCCTCTCTCCGCGCCCGCCCCCCCCCCCCGCCCCCCTTAAGGACAGGGGGAAACTTCTTTAACCACAGGGGCAGCTTCACTGGATAGCTTAACATTGTGAAAAGCAAAAGCACTTCTTAAGGCCATGAAACTGGTATGTTTTTTGTTTTGTTTTGTTTAGGTCTTCACACACCACTAAGGCATTCTCTTTAATGGTGAAAACACTTTCTTTGGTGGTTTCAAAACATTGAGGAAAATAAAATGAACCAACACAACTCATTGTATATTGACATCATTCCCCTAGTTACTAATTAGGGCATAAGCAAATCTGTAGCACAGAGACACGCGTTGTAGTAAAACAGACCATTACAAAGCTTATATACAGCAGGTGCTCGAATAACGTCATTTCATTATAATGTTAAAGAGGGAAAAGAAAACCGATTCCTGGCTGGGGCCTCTCTGGATGTGTCAAGTTGGGACATTCTCCCTACGCCTGCATGAGTCTCCCCTGAAGACCCCCGTTTCCTCCCACAGTGATGTGCAGGGGAGGTAAACGGGTGTGTCTACACTGTCCTAGTGTGAGTGTGGATGTGTGTTAGTGCGCCCTGTGATGGAAGAGCAGTGTGTCTGGAGTTGGATCCCGCCTTGCACCCTGAGCTGCCAGGATAGGCTCTGGCCATCCACCACCCGGAACTGGAATGAGCGGGTGGAAAATGATTTTCTTGTTTTATTAATCTTTCCTAAATGTATGTAGGGTTTACATTTATTTCAATGTTTAATATTAGAGGTGTTTTGGGTCTTCATTTAAAAATTTTGGTGAGCAGAAATATATCATAAGAACTCTTATTATCAATTAGCCTATGATAAAATTGGTTTCGTTATACATTGTTTTGCTTTAAGTTCCAGTTTCCAAGAACCTACTATTGATGTTAAGTGAGGACTTATGTATCAGCCTTTAAAAAAAAAAAAAATTCTTGAACTGTAGCCAATAAAGTAGGAGTATTGGATTAAATAATAAGAATTTTTTACAAAGTGTGGGCAAATTACACATACAAAACATCAGCCAGTTTTTGCTACTACTTGTCTACCTGTTTATTCTTTGAAATCTTGAGAGACCTCTGTCTTTTTATTAAAATTAGCCTTGCTAATTTAATAAGTAAAAGACACCTGCATTTTAATTTCTATTTCTTCAGAAATTAAGCATTTTTCCATTGCTTGTTAGTTTATATTTCTGCTCCCATGAATTGTCTTCTATGGAGATTGTGATATTTAAAAAAATGCATCATATACATTTAAATAGAAACCCTTTGTTTTACATATCTATTACAAGAATTAAAATACAGGTCAACAAACAATAGCTTCAGTAGAACTGACTGACTTTTTGGTAGCAAAGAATAGCTGGCTAGTGTTAATATTACCGGTTTCTTTTTCTTTTTATCCTTTCCTAAGGTTCTGCAAGTGCTGTTTCTTTCTTCCCTTCAATAATTCCCACAGAGATGTACCAACCAATAACTTCATTGTACACCCATTTTAGCTCCCCACTAGCTCCAAAGCAACAGAGAACAGCAGGTGCCAAATGCACAGTTTACAAATACAAATGACTGTCAGGTAGCTGTATTGACAGAATGCCTCTGAAAGGTTCTCTGGTGCTGAAGAAATTGCCCATGCACCAGAGACAAACATTGAGAGGAGATCGATTTAAACTTAATCTGACATCATCTACTGTCACCCACAGCAAAGTACTAAAATATAACCATTCAATTCAAAGAATTGCAAATGGTCTACAATGTTTAAGATAAAGCCCCAGTTAGTTTGTTATTTTATAAGGTCCAAGATGATCACAACCAATACAGTGTGAATTGCTTCTGTTAGTCAAGAAATGATTTATAATTAAATCTTAAATGTAACAAATTCTTAGAGAACACTCAAAACAGATTTGTCCCTAATCCCCCCCCCCCCCCCCCGCCGTCAACAGTTGAGAAAAGAAAAAGAATTGTGAGCAGCAAAGACAAGGGAGATAGGATGAAAGAGCTCTTACCTAGCTTGTGGCCAGAAACTATCCATCATTATTAAGTAACAATCAGTGAATCAACAATATATTGTCAAGAAAACAGACAACATAGTTATCTGCTGAAAAGGAAAATAAATGGGCCTTTGCCATAATAATTTCAATTATATTTTCATACTTTAAGGTAAAATTTTCTAACTATATGTTTCCCATTCTCCAAACACGTTTGTTTACAATCTTTTTTTAGGTGATGCACAAATGTTAAGCGTATCATTAAACAAGCTTTGAGAACTGCATGCAAGGTGAGGAGTATTTGTGCTGTTTTTTTTAAAAGTACACACAGAATTCAGCTTTTTAGGCTTAACAGTTCTATGAGTTTTAACATATGCATGTAAGTGTCTTGTTACCATCTCCACAAAAAGGATACAGAATAATTCCTACACCTTTTTTTGGTGAGACCCTCATCTTCCCCCTAACTACTGCCAACTACTGACCTGTTCTCTGTTCCTGTAATCTGCCTTTTCCAGAATGTCATGTACATAGAATCATACAATATGTAATCAGGAGACTGGCTTCTTTTAGTTAGCATACTACGTTTAAGATTCATCTGTTTTGCTACATGTGTAAAAATATTTGTTCCTTTATTTATTGCTGAATTGTATTTCATTGAGTACGATTAGTTTATCTACATACCTGCTGAAGGACATTTGGGTTCTTTCAAGGTTTTAGTGATTTTGAACAATGCTACTACAGACACTTGTGCACAGGTTTGTGTGTGAACATAGTTTATTTCTGTAGAAAAAATACTGGGTTATATGAGAGGTACTAAATTGTTTTCCAGTGTAGCTATACCATTTTGTAATCCCACCAGCAATGTATAAGAGTTTCAGTTGCCCCATATCCTTCAGAACACCTGGCATTATCAGTAATTTAACTTAGCCATTCTAAAAGATGGAGAATTGGATCTCATCGTGATTTTAATTTGTATTTCTCTAATGACTGATGATGTTAAGCACCTTTTCATGTTAAGCACCTTTTCATTCATATATCTTCCTTACATCCTAACAGTATCTTTTGTTGTATATCTGTGCTGTCAAATATAGTAGCCAATACCCACATGTGGCCCATTGGGCACTTGAAATGGGTTAGAATACCTGAGAAACTGTTAAATTTTATGTCATTTCAATTAATTTAAACTCAAGTATTCACATATGGCTAGTAGCTACCCCGTTGGAGAGCAGAGCACTATGATGATTATTACAAGCCATCAAAGATAAAAAGCACAATCAGTAAATAACAACGAAAGAGCTGAGAAGGAAAGCCATCACAGTTATCATCGAACCCAAGTAGAGTGTTCTGTAGCACCAAAAAACTATGAGAACCTTAAGGAGGGTGAGTCTGGTAAAGTCCCATTTGTAGCAGTGTTACTTACTTTTTCATGGGAAAAACCTGGATTCAAATAACAGGGGTTTAACAAATCACAAAATAATCCATTCAAAGGCAAATCAGCTAGCCATGAAAAACAATGGGGAAAATTACTTAGAGCCCAGAATCGGGGAACTCATTAGCTTAGAGTAGCCTGTTACATTCGCCAGGAGGAACCTGAAGCCTGTCCTGCTTGCTGCTTTTCCCATCACTGGGGCCATGGCAGCTATCTAAGAACTTTGGCAAACATACAGATGGCCACAATTTTTAGAAGTTAAGTTTCTCTTCAAAGTCCTTCAATAGTCTTAAACCATACCTTATTATTTATTCTCTTCTCTCAGTGCCTCTGAGCATTTCCTAGACCTGTCCCTAGGTGCTCTTAGGTTCCAAAATTACCCTCCATTCCTTTCCTATACCCACATAGAATCTGTTCCTTTACATTCGACAAGAAACCAATCTGTGACTTTGTTTTGGGTCTCTTCAAACATCTTTCACATACATACCTATACTGCTTTTTACATGTACTGAAAATGTTACTGCTTTGGGAGCAAGTGACTTGAGCTTGGGACTTTGGGGTTTAACATACTTTGACATGAATCCTAACCCTGCTACTAATTAGTTATGTGGCCTTGCTGGTTAAGTTACCTCCTCAGCCTCAGTTTCTTCATAAAGGAAGAGGCAAAAAGAATACTGGTAGAACCTCCTCCCCTCCCCCACCAATGCCTGCCTACCTCTGGCATGGGAGGAGACTGCACCATAAATCTGCTTTCTCTCTCCTTACCAAAACCATACTTCCTCCATATGACCCCGGAATGCTGAGGTGCTAAGTAATAGTAATTACAGTAATTTATGGAAACTGCTTATCATTTAAGCCTTAATTACTATGCAGCACAATAACAATTATGCAAACCATTAAATGTGTCAGATTCACTTTGCTGCATGTTTTATTTGATTTTTAACACTAACATCTATTCACATAGGCTCAGTTTGTAGTTCACACAGCATGTGCCTCCTTACAGTTAAAAAATATTAGTGGGAACAGTGCCTAGAAGGAAAATCAGGCACCTAAGGGAGAAATCAAAGAAGTAATTTGTTTCAAAGAGCTTCAAATATAGTCACTTCTCTTATCTCCTTCCCTACTGATAGGACTAATTACTTGCAGGATGGGAGAGGAACATTTCCCAGTCCCAGATTTCTTTGGAGAATCTTACTGGCTCAGCTTCTTCTTAGGTGCAATGCTGCCAGCTGATGGATGAGGAGGGGGACTGGGTCATGTGGTAAATACAACCACTTTGTAATACGGCTTCTCTGACAGACACCAAAGTGGAATCAGAAGTGCTCAAGTGTGCCCCAGCTGGTTTGGCTCAGTGTATAGAGCAGTGATGGCGAACCTTTTGAGCTTGGCATGTCAGCATTTTGAAAAACCCTAACTTAACTCTGGTGCCGTGTCACATATAGAAATTTTTTGATATTTGCAACCATAGTAAAACAAAGACTTATATTTTTGATATTTATTTTATATATTTAAATGCCATTTAACAAAGAAAAATCAACCAAAAAAATGAGTTCGCGTGTCACCTCTGACACGCGTGTCATATGTTCGCCATCACTGGTATAGAGTGTCGGCCTGCGGACTGAAGGGGAGTTCAATTCCAATCAAGGGCACATGCCCGGATTTTGGGCTCGATCCCCAGTGTGCCTAGTGTGGGATGCAGGAGGCAGCAGATCAATGACTCTTATTATTAATGTTTCTATCTCTTTGTCCCTCTCCTTTCCTCTCTGAAATCAATACAAATATATTTTTTAAAAAAAGAAAGAAAAGGAAGTGCTAATGTGTTTTAAATCTGGCTGGAGGAGAAAATAAGATGGCCAAGATGGAATTCCTCACAGGTTTCTCTGGAGGTGTAACAACATTCCTGGGAATAAAAGCCAACATGGTGGGGCAAAAGTAGGTTTACAGTTGTTCATATGGAAAATAACACAATAAATACATTATAATACATGAATAAACTGTGTTTTGCATACTTATTAGTTTCGCCCCACCCTGTAGTTGGGTACCAATCAGTAAACCTAACCTTTCAGTCAGCATCCTGTTAACTTCCACTAACTTGAAACTTTGAGTAGGGCTGTAAGTTTCCAGTGAAAAGGAAGAGGTATGGAAAACAACCCAGCATTTACCCACTATTAAAGATAGGGAAGTGTGCTGATAAAACTTCGTATAACTGACCTGAGTAAGGCAGCACTGCAATGCCCCCCACAGCCACGCTACCTGGAAGCTCCTGCAGTGAGCCCTGCCACCGGAACAACCCTCTCCCCTAAATGTCTCATTCTCTTAGCTTGAGCTTGCAGCTTCAGGAAGAAGTGAGAGGAAGAGGGCACCCAACCAGCTAAGCCCAACAGTCAATGCTTTATCAATTAGTCCCTTTGCCCCTATCTCTTCAATAACTCCTCTATCCTTTTAATTCTATCCCACAAAAATTTAATCACAATTTCTTGTATCCAAAGGGGGGAGAAAAAGAAAAAACTTTACTTCATCCTATGTGTCTCTCCAACTATCTCCTTATTTTTCTTCCTCTTTAGAAGCTAGTTTCTTGCAAGACTTTTAATGTCAAATCTTCATTTTCTCACCATACTCACTATTCTATTCTTTGCAATACAGTGAGTTTTTTATTTGTTCATTTTTTATCCAATCTAACAGATGCTTCATCCTTTCCTTCTGGTTGTGCATTCCTTTTGTTAGAATTGCTCCTCCCTCAATTAGCATATGACTCATTTCTGGTGTTTTTTTTCCCTTTGATTCCTTCTCCTTCTTAGTTTTTTGCTCATGTTCCTTCTGCTGTCCTCCCTTTAAATGTTGGTATCATTCAGGGTTCCATTCTCAGTCCTGTACTAGGTCAGTTCATCTGTTTCTACAGCTTCGCTATATCCTCATGTGTTCAAGACCCAGCCCTTAACTCACTGTTGAATCCCAGAGCTATGTAAACTCCCCACTGGACACTCTTTGTAGCCCACAGGCACCTCAAATTCAATATACCAAGAAAAGGAACTCATTACCTTTACCACAAGGTGCTCCTCCACTGAATTCCCAAGCTCAGTTAAATGGCAACACAACCCAATTAGCTGTCCAAGTTAGATTCCTGGCCATTAGGGCTGGCCTCCCCTCCCCCATTTACTAATATACCAAGACTTCCTATTCCACCTACAAAATGTCTCTCTAGTTTTAATGCTACTGACAGAATTTATTTAGGTAATTCATTCACTCAAGAATCACCTACTGGTTATCATCAACTGTCCTGGATTACTAAACAGTCTCTCCTAGATTCTACTTTGACCCCCTCTAATCTATTTTCCAGTTTGCATCCTGAATACTCTTTAAAAAATAATCCCCTAATTAAAACCCTTCAATGGCTCCTCATAGTTTTTAAGACAATGTCAACTTCCATAGTACAGCTTATAAGGGCTTTCAGAAGCTAGCCCCTGCTATTTCCCTTGACCTGGTCCCTCCTCCTCCCTCCACTCACACTCAGCCAACAGACTATCTACTTGTTTCTATCAATGTGCCCTTTCTCCAAGCCTGATTCCTTCTCACCTCCATGTTAAAAGTCTATAGACCTGTAGGACTTACCTTAGGCATTAACATCTCCAGAAATCTTAGAACAGGTACCTCTCTGTTGAACTCTGTCAGAGTACTTATCACATCATAAGACAACTACCTGTTACCTTACTTGTTGCCTTTTTCTACTTCATTGGGAATTCTTTGAGGGCAGGGATCTAGTCTTAGTAAACTAAAAGATTGGTTTATGTTATAAAGTGACTGCCATACAGAAGACCTGGATATTTAATGAGTTAATAGGCTAAATGGTATTCTTTTGAATGTACGTAAAGTAAAAACAACTAATGTTTGTTAGTACTTTATGGCTTAGAACACATTAATTTTTTAACAATCTCATTGGGTAGGTTGTACCATCAACCATATTTTAAGTGTAAAGAAACAAGATGGAGTTAACTGACTTGCCAAAGGCAGGACTCAATTCTGGGCCTCCTACATGTTAGGACTGAGACTCTTCTATCAAACAACCACATCTCTATTGAAATATGTAGAAGTGAGCAAGATAATTCACTGTGAAATAGGACTGCAAATCATCCTCTAAATGTGCAATTTAATCTTTGGACATAAAAAGGTAAATGAATTTTAAAAGATCTAATTTGAATTAATACCATAGTATTGCTTAAATTTTTCATATATGAAGAAACATCTCCACTTTTACCATTGTATTTAAATCTCAGAAATTGATAAAAATTTAATATCTGTGGTAGTTACAAGATTTATGTTTATTAATACAACAAATAGCTGAGAAGAGTCAGAAAGCTTCTCTGTTCTTTCAAAAGTTGATAGCTTTATGCTCTTAGAAATGCCTAGTCATAGCCATCTTCTGGGACTTAAGTACCTCTAGTATGCTTGCTAGACACGGTCACACATAAGCAGCAATATTACCAATTTTCTTTAACCTGACCTAGAATTATATTCTGCTTACCTTGATGTGCAAAGACCAAACTCAATCAGAATTAATTTCTCAAAAATGTTCTTTCAGAGATTAGGATCACCTAATGCTGGCCCTTTGATAGGGATATATCCTAATTCTTTATAATCAATTATTATACCACATTTCAGAGTGAAAAAAAATAGCACTTTTTCTATCCAAATAATAAAGTATTAGTGTTCCATCATAAGATTTAAAATATCCAAACAATTGTTTTCAGTTCATTTTTGAGACATATATCAATAATTAAAAAACAACAACAAAATGAATACTTACAATATATCCTTGAAGTTTTCAAACACATACATATGCCGAAAACTGTCAATAGCTATTACGGGGCAATCTGCTGGGGTTTTCTGTATGTGCAGAAGAGGATGTCTAAATTTGTCACAGTCCGCATGTAAGAAGTTTATTGCACCTTTAGAAGAAAAAGAATCGGGAAAGATAGATCAGAATTTTCTTGATTGTATTCTCATAAGATTGCAAGTTCATAAAAAGTAACATACTAAAAAAACACCAAAATGTTTTAGAGTAATAGATCACAAAAACTAAAACCTAAATATTGCAACACTGAAAGGAGGTAGGATTTGAGCTCTTAGGGCAGAGAGTATAATTTTCTCATAAATTATCTGAACTCAACCTGAATTCAAATGCTATAGTGAATTTTTCATTTTTCTTGCATGGGCACTCCTCTGCTCTGCAGATTACCCAGGTCTGGAGAGCAAGTTCCTGAAACTGACATATAAACTGTCTTCCCCAGGCCATCTTCATTTCATCAAGGAGCCCTTCTAGTCCCTACTGGTTGATTTTCAATCTAATTCAACCCCCAAAATATTTACTAAGTCACTAATAAGGGTATAGCTCTATACAATGCCTTCAGTTTATTATGCTTGATTTTCTTCTCTAACTACAAAGGGAAAGTTGGTCATATCTCAAATTGTTTTTGATGCTTTGGAGAAGTCCACAGAGAACGCACTTTCTTTCATTTAGAAATAAACATTAACCAGACTCTGTAAGTTATCTCAGCAATATGTCTGAGACTGTCTCTATTAGAAAGGGACCAGGCAAGTATCAATGTGCTAAAAGCAAGTGCCTAAAACTGACGGTGTCCACCTATGACCCCACTTTCCAAGCTATTTGATTTAGGGAGCTAAAACAGCCATGGTTTATTTTAAAAAGCCACTGCTTCGTATTCTCTCTCTACTATACCTCCCACCCCATGTTTACATGTAAATTCTGAGGCTGTAATGGGGGAGGGGTTGGGGAGAAAGAAAGAAAGAGAAAAGATGAAAATAAACACCTTCATCTGTCTACCTTTTTCACTTATTAACTGTCGGGCTACTTCATTCTGGAATATTTCTAAACTTTCTGTATCTTCTTTCATGTGGAAGAGTATTAGAAAAGGCAGTCCTTCTTCTGTCAATTCCTGTGTAGAGAAGTATTTAATGAGAATTATCAGGCCTCTCCACTTGTAGCTGTTTTCTAAGTAGGAACAATTTAGAACTCAACCCAACATGCAACAATTGCAACATCCCAGGAAAAAAATAAGGCCCAAAGATGTAAATAAACATTAGCCTTAATGGAGAAGTCCAAAGACATTTCCTGTACCCGAAGTACCCCGGCACTCAGAGGACTCACCCACTCATCCTGCTCGCCTGCAGGAACTGACTTGCCTTAAAGTAACCACTGGGCTGGGCTGTTCGCTAGAACTGGGTGAAGCCATGGCATTTGATAAATGAGTTGACCAAGGGAGAAACTGCTGGTTCTTTATCAAGATGTTAATTTTAGGGTGGAGTAGACATGTTTTCCCCTACAGATTTTAGGGTGGGGTAAACTGTCTTCACAGATAACACTGAAAAACTGAATGTACCAGCAGTAAATAAATCTGATTTTGCACACTTATGTTCATTTTAAGGTGTATGCAAAAACTTAGACGAGCTGAAAAGTGTTTGATTCAGAGCAAATAACAAAACTCCCATAACATAGCCAGTTTTCAACCAATACACAATTTTCAACATTAAAAAATACCCACCACTATATATGTGTGTGTTTATATACCTTGTGGATATACATACACAAAAGCGTCTTGAAAATTATAAAGTGCTTTAAATTTTTTATTGTTATTGGAGAATAATATGAGAAATGTGATGACAGATTTTAAACATTTATTTTCTCTAACAAATGCTAAGTTCTGACTCATGAGGATAAGTTCAGAATGGCCTAATAAAATTATTTCCATCAACTATCCTTTTGTGTGTCTCTCTGTAATTTAGACACTGCCTCAGCAGAAAGCTCAAATGTCCTATACTTTATAAAAACTAAATCTGGAACCCATCTTATAGGACAAGAGTTTTCTTCTGGTTCCTAGTTCCATGTTTAAGCCTGTTACACTCATGTACAGAATAAAGTATAAAGTTTCTTGTCACATTTACTTTTTTAAAAACTAAGATATAACTCACATGCCAACAAATTCACCATTTTAATGTGTTCAAACTGGTGGGTTTTATTATATTTACAAGGTCTGCAAACATCAACACTACCTAATTCCACATCATTTTCATCACTCCAGAAAGGAACCCCATACTCATTAGCAGTCACTCCCATCTTTCCTCCCTGACTCCTGGCATTATACTGATCTTCTGTAAGTTGATTTAAAGTTTCCTCTTCCCCACTCTTTATCTCTTGGGCTCACAGTTTTCTTTCTCTCACACACTGCTACTTTTCCCCATGGTCTGTCTTTGGACTTCTCTGCTCTAGCTTGGCAATTTCGACTAGTTCAACAATCTCAATCAGCACTTCTCTTTGGTCCCTTTTCTCTCTCTCTCCATGCCCAGTTCCAGTTCAGAATCCAAGTCTAGATTTCCAACTTCCTGTGTAATATCTCCATTACAACGTCTAACCAACCTTCAGCACTCAATATTAATACACTTTCACTTCCCTATTTCCATTAGTATTTCTGCTCCTCTTTTAGCCCTTTCCTTTCAGGACTGAAGCCTTGTCTTGTCTAGAAAACCATCCCTGATTCTGCCCCACTTCTGCCCAAAGTGGAAATGAATTCTCTCCTCTGAATTCCCAGAACATTTTCCCAGTGCCCTTCAGGTGGCCTGGGACATGTCTTTATATTACATTATCTATATACGTGAACCACCGGACTGAACCCCTTAAACACGGAGAATCTTATTTCACTTCTCTTTTGCTCATAGATTTTTATACGCAATAATGCGCAATCAACCTATGACATGAGGACACAAATGTTTCTGAATAAATATAATTGGGAAAGGAGACTCAATAGTCACCTTTTAGAAAACGTAAGAGCTAGAAAGTTAAAAGTAAAAACAAATATAACATACTAGTATTACTTTATTAAACCAAACAAAAGTATGGATGAACTAACAACTATTAGGAGAAAAGTAATAAGTAGATTAATAGTTTGAAAAAAAAATCTTTTTGCTAAACTAACTTACATATATTAACATAGAAGTTGGTAGTTTATGCTGCTTGGATTTTTAAGTTTCCCGTGTCCACATCAACATATTCTCTCCAGAGCAGGCATTAAAAGACTCAGGGGCGAGACAGCAAAACAACCAGGTTCAGACATTGCCCCACTGTCAGGTGTGGGGAACGTCTGGCCCGGGCGGTATAAGGCCTGAGAAATCATTTGGGCTGGCCCTGCCAAGGCAATCGCAGGCGGAATTTGAATTTCAATAAATCTAGGAGCTTTTTCCATAGCAACATAAATTTATATTAAGTGAATTATATTAAGCGAATGATGTTATAAATATCCAAATGGCCCTTGGCAGAAAAAAGGTTCCCCACCCTGGAAATGATTGAGGGGTAGTTGGAACTCCTGTATTACTATTTAAGATTTTCCAGTTTATACCTTTAAACTCTACTTTTCAAATTATTCCTGCCAAAGCAGGTGAATAATTGTGACAAGTTACTAAATCTTTCTGAGCCTCTGAGGACTAACTGAGCTAACACAATAAAAATGTATGTAATTCAACCAAGCATACCTGAAGCCTAGAGAACTGAGAAAAGTAGCAGCGATGTTCATTTGATAAATAAGCTAAGAACACAAGCAAGCAAGCTTTAATGGATCACAACCACACATTTATGCATTGTGTGAGGCTGCGTTTGTGCCACACTGCGAAGTTGAGTTGTTTCGACAGAGAGGGTATGAACTGCAAACTTAAAATACTTAACATCCAATTCCTTTACAGAATTGCCATCTTCTGACTAGATGGTGATTAGGTGGGTGTGTTTACTATGTGATAATGTTTTCTAAAAATTGATTAGATTGGGTTTTAAACATGGAATGAGATTAAAAGAAAAATATATTTTGAACATAGTGAAGAATAGAGAGAGGCATCTCACAGACCTAGCCCCTTGTACATGCTCCTTGATCTCTGACTTTTGTGTTTTGTTTTTGTAAGTTTGCTTTATTTCAGACACATGGAATCACTGAGGTCAATTACATGATAACTGATAATTGCTTTTCATGACTTCATTCTTTTAGGATAGAAAGCATCAGAACAACCTTTAGATGGCAAAGAATTATTCACACTAAATAACTGATTGTAACTATGCTTCTAAAGGATACCCCCTAAACAAGAATCTTCCAACAGGGGTGGTTATCAGAATCCCGAGGCATTTTCAGGACTGTAATGACCCACTGACATTGCAGGAAATGCAACAGAGGAGTCCTGGGATGGCCCGGGTGAGAGCCACTGGCCTGTATTACAGAAATAGTTATGATGTCATTATGTTTGACTGTATGATTTTTATTAGAGGTTAAGTATGTGATAAAATAGTAAGAGTGGACAAAGTTTGCTTTTTCAGAAATCTGAATTAAAAAATTAAAAATAACAACCGACATTAGAAAGCCCATACCTCTCCATTTTCAAATGTTATTTCTCGAACAAGAGGAACGCATTTATCTTGAATCCAATTGTAAATCCCATCAAAATTTGTCATAGAGCCCAAGTATACCATATCTGGAGCAGAATGCTGTTACAAAAACAGAGAAAAATACTGTATTAAACAAATCTAACCTGTGTTAGCAAAAATGCATTCTAGAGCCGTCTATATGAGCCCAGAAAATCAATAAGGGATACAAAAGCAAAAAACATGAAACTTCTGAGAAAGAGGGCTGTAAATAGTAAAAAGCTGATAATATTGTGATTATTCACCCTGTGATCCCTAAGCCTTCTGCTTTTCCTTGGATTTGGGCTAATTAACTGTTTATCAGTATCTTCACCAATGGCAGGCAGGCATTGTGAAAAAAAGTTATTAAAAAAATTAAGTTATCTATCCTTAGAGTTGAAGATATTAGAAGAAAATCTGGAGACTTCCAGTGAAAAATACAAGACACTATGTAAATCTAAGGCATGGCTATCTCTAATATTTATTATCTACAGTATCTACTTCCATATAGACTCAAAATCAATATTTATGAAGTACCTAAAATGATGGTAAGAATAACAGCCAACATTATCTGAGTAAACTTGCCATGTCCAAACACTGTTGTGAGCACAGTAAAACCTTGATATAACAACTTCAGGCAAAGGGCTATCTGTTTAAGCTGGAAGTCCATTATATAATAAAGTAGGTTTTCCGAATGGGTATGTTAGACACTGACAAATTAGTTATCTGTTTTTACTTATGTAGACACGTTTGTGTATTTAAAATTAAGTATGTATGGAAAGTTTAATTTCACAGAAAAGTTTTCTATATGTATTATTGTAATTTTAAATTTATACTGAATTGGTCTAGTAAATGCTAACATTTGCCAGTCACTGCGAGTAAATAAATGCACACAGCTGGGGTGTGGCTTAGTGCACGGTGGGACACTGGCCAGCACTTGTAAAACTGCTGCAGAAAGTCACGTCAGGTGAAAACAGAACCAATTACCAAGTGCAATGCAGTGTGAGCATGTGCTAATGTTTACGAGAGGTGACTTTTGGATTTAAATATGTAAACTATAGTTGTAGATATATAATATTCATGTCAGTGAAATTACTACAGTGTTTCTTCTAATATATGGCTTATTCACTAAAATTTGTTAAAAATAACAGTGAATTAATAACAACAATAAAAAAACCCCTGTTAATTTAATTATAAGCAAATCTTGGTTAAAAGCATTTTAAAATTAACAGGGTATTAATTTTCACATACGGAGATACGGATCAGAATTTTTGTCCGTTAAATCAAGGTCTGCAAAATGGAGGGTTTACTGTGCCTTATATATGTTGACTCATTTAATCCCTGAAGTATCCCCTAAAGCAGGACCATTATTATCATGGCTGCTTTTACTAATGAACAACTGAAACACAGAGAAACTAAGAAACTTCCCCAGAGTTATACTCCTAGGAAAGTGGAAGATTTGACATTACAACTCAGCCTCACTCCAGAGCCCATGCTCTTTACAACCAAACTACATGGTGAGACACTCTACTGGAGTCTAGAGAAGGGCACACTATGTAAGCTACTCCTAAAGACATGCCCTTGCAAAAAAATAGAGGCAAATACTTATCTGAATTCAGAATAAGAAATGAGTTTCTAAATAAAAACCTCATTCATGTGACTACATAAACATTAAAAACTTCAGTGTGTCAAAACACTGCAAACATTAAAATGAAAATTATAAATTTGAAAAATATAGATTCTATTTTTTGTTATGTGTGAAAAATTGCAATGACAAACAATTTATGAATTTAATTTATATTTAAAATTATACTACAAAAAAGCAACTTACCCCTGGTGGTTTGTAGATTATACTGTCTCCACTGTATCTTTCTGGTTTTGAAACAGTCCTAATAGGAAGAGAGAAGTAGTACTAATAAGTTTTAAGAAAAATAATAGCAGTAATACACCTGAATGAAGAAGAATTAGTTAGCTGTTTTGCAATGTATGAATTATCTATTTGAAACATATACTTATCCATCATCTTTCCTACTTATGACTATGCACTAAAAACTAAAGCATGTATTTTTAAAATTTATTGAACAAAAATTTAGCGCAAGGCAGATTTTTTAAAGGGAAATTTTAGTTTCCTGCTTTTGTGACTCAGTATTTTATAAGTTTGGATTGGTAGTTTTAGCACTAAAATGCTATTTTTAAACCTAGACTGTAACCACTAACTGGGATCAAGGTCATTGATGTGGTCCCGTAGACCAATCAAGAAACTCATTATTTGCTTGTAAGTCAGACTCATCCATGAATTTTCTACTTTTTACTTTTAAAATCTCAGCCAAACTGACACACTCTCAACCAACATACTTACCCAAATGCAGAAAAGAAGGCACAATCATCGTGCAAAATATTCGCTACTTTTTGAAAAACTCTATAGTGTTCTGAATCCATTTGCTCAAAATAGCCAATAATATTTCTTTTGCTGCGCTGTAAAATAATGTAATTATTTTACAAACATATGCAGTTCTATAAACATGTTATTTCATTTACCCAGCTTGTTCAATTATCTCCAAATGAAGTATGACTATAAATACACATTTGACTTAACACCTAGTCCAAAACTATTAAAGATTACATTGGTTTGAAAGCAATCTTAACTATAGTCTAATGTAAATATGAACATTTCCTTCTAGCATTTTATGTTAAAATTTCAATAAATAGATAATTATATGACAGTCTTTTCCTAATTAAGGTGACTAATTCTAAAGTATTTTAAACTAGTACATCAATTCATAACGTGTGACTGACTGTAGGCAGAGACTCCCCCATGGGTCTCTCACACTGCTACACAAACTGCAAAACCCCAACCACTCTTTACCAGGACCATTTCTCAGGGTTGTGTTCGCAGCTAGCAACACTGAGGTATGAGGTAATGTTTCCCTCCAGGACAGAGAGCAGGCTTATTACTAGCACCAACATGGGCGTTTCCGGAGCCCAGAGTTCTCCTGTAATACAACCCACTGTACACATAGGCATCTAACTGGACCCTCTGTGTCACTTCCATAAGACTTGGGGGTCAAAGAAACAAATGCAAACATGTTCACACTGGTGGCTGTAATGTGAGCAATAAAGCCCTTTGTTACTGACCCATAAGCCTTATATCTTTTGACATCCATGAAACTACAACTGCTTAACATATTAGCTTGTAAGTAGGATACAAATAAAATCTCAAACCTGACAATGACAATCTAAAACCCAAACGCAATTGTTTTTTATTAAACACTACTTAGTGTACAAAGAAAAGGGTTTGCTAAGCTTATTATTAAAGGGGGCTATTTTACAGGACACTAAAACACATATCAAAGAGCTGATATGGGAGTAATCAGAGCAGACACCTGGAGAATCTCCACCAAGAAACACATGGAAATTTGGTTGTGTAGGCCTGCCATTAACATCTATTTCTTCATAATTCAGGCTACCCTTTGACCTCAATAATTCAAATTAGTGCAATTTTACTGTATGCTATACATTTTACCCAAAGGGTCAATAAAACATTAGCATTTCCCTTGAGAAATAATGGAAGAAAAACTCAATTTGCTAAAAGTATATATATGTCAAATCCATTGCAATTAACTATAAGAAAATATACAGATTCCTTGATTGCATAAGAATTTGTTTACATTAATTAAACAAGCAATGTTCATTTGATCCAGCAAAAATTAACCACTTACATCAAGAGTGGTGATTTCTACTAAGTCATGCAGTTCTTGAACGGGGTCACTTTTTTGTTGCCTGATGTAATCTGCAAGTGCTTTCACTGACCGCTGACCCCTGTACTCTCTCTTCATCATCATCCCATTACGAAACAATTTGAGGGTTGGGTATTTGCTTATCCTATATCTCTGGGCTATATCAGCTAAAAGAATGAAAAGAAAAAAAATTAACTTCACTCTCATACTTGATCTGGGTAAGCCCATTAGCCAAACAGTCTAAATTCTTACAGTGACTTAGTGAAGACATTTTGGTTCAATAGTTATTTTTCAATGTTAGAGAAAAAATATTAATCATGATGAGTTTGTACTGGTTAAGGAGGCAAGATCTGGACATGTGTTACCTGGTTTAAATCCCACATTTGCTATTTACTGGCTCTTTGAACTTGTAACTCAAATCAACTATCTATGCCTTAGTTTCTCATCTGTTAAGTAAGAACAATAATTTCTACCACACAGGATTGTTTTAAGGACTAAATAAGATAATACAAGTGCATGACACAGTAAACTTTAAATAACTGTTAGTAAACATTATCATAAATATATTCCAGAAAGGAATTAGAATGCACAAAATGTCAATTTTGAAAATATGCAAATTTTATGTAAACTAATACAATAAAACCCAAAACTCAGCAGTATATACACAGAGACACAAAATAATAAACCCTTTATTATGACCTATAGATATAATCTCAGGAAATGAAAATTCTTTTCCTGTGTCATTAAAACCTGTTTATAGTCTCAAAATAAGAACTTAAATCAAGATGTATGCTGATGTCATTTTTTTAGGAATCACCATTACTAAGATGCCTTATGTCATATATGAAAATGATAAAAGATGCATTGAATTTTTAGAATAAAGGTGACCTGGGAGAGCACTGAAGTGGTCTAAAACAGGTGAAATTCTTTTTCTTAACTGAGCAAAAATGAAAGCAAAATTCTAAAATGGTGACACAAAACACCAGGAAAATTGTCTAACCCTCTTTCATTTCTAGTAGTTGTAAAACAGAAACAAAACACAACAAACAGAATGGCAAAAACATTTCTGCTGACCACCTTAATTTTATAAGAGATTTGATGGTAGAAACAACTATAGAGGGAGACTAGTAAGGAAGCTACTGTAATGGTCCTGGCAGAAGTAACAAGAAGTCTGTCTACAAACTTAACACGGCAACCTTTAGGTTGTCTTAAAATTCTACTTTCGGATAGAAAAAGATTAAATAACATTTGAAAACAGGGGAGCAGAGGCTTGCTTAATCCTCAAACGACATCACGTACAGCAGGTGTGCTGCACAATTATGTGGCTGTTAATTATTAAAAAGCAATAGACTTAAAATTACATTGATCAATAATCTCAGACATAAAGGCGACTTCTTACAAGCTTTGGTCAAAGGTGATTTTAAAATAATTACAGTGTGACATTTTAACAATATAACAAAGAATGACTTAAGGGGTATAATAATTTTTTTTATTAACTGGATAGATCAAATGTTAAAATGGATGTCAAAAGAATTGAAATTACAGAAGGTTAATAGCTTGCTGATTGGAAAATTAGCATGTACTTTTGCTTTAATGGTCACTTATTCTCCTTGATGGGTTCTGCCTGCCTGCCCACCTCAGCCATGCCCAGCAGGGTCCAAACGGGGAAACTGCCTTAAGCTCTGTCTCAGCAGTGTCCACCCGGCCATGATTATCCATGGCAGACAGTACAAAGAAGCAAGAGGTTTCAACAGATAGGTCTTATGTTCTTGTGATTCCAGGATGAGGACCACTGCTACCTATGTATCGTTTCTCACTCCCAAGTCATGCCTTCCCCTCAATGAGGAAAAAAACAAAAATAAAAACACAACAACAAAATAAACCCTAAAGGAAAATATAGAGAAAGCCTAGATGCTTATTCAGGACTCAAGGTAAGTCTACACATCCAAGTTCTGTTTTATGCACATGAATTCTTTACTGTATCTCTTCTTATTCTTTTTTAAAACTTATTTTATTGAAATATATTTAACATATAACACTGCAAGTTTATGTGTAAAACATATTGGTTTGATACATAACTGACATTTCTTCTTCTGTGGTGGGAATAATTAAGATCCAGTCTCTTAGCAAGTTTGATGCGTGTGTGTGTTTTTTTAAATTTTTATTGATTTCAGAGAGGAAGGGAGAGGGAGAGAGAGATAGAAACATCAATGATGGGAGAGAATCATTGATCGACGGCCTCCTACACGCCCCTTACTGGGAATCAGGCTCACAACCCAGCCATGTGCCCTTGACTGGAATCGAACCTGGGACCCTTCAGTCCGCAGGCCGATGCTCTATCCACTGAACCAAACCAGCTAGGGCAAGTTTGATGTTTTTAATACAATATTGTTGTCTATAATTATTTTATGTCTTAATGCCTCATTTATGCATAGCTCTTATAAAGCTTCCCAATTTGCAATGAGGAAGGTTAAAGGTAGTGCTGGAAAGAAGACAGGTAAGAGTAACTTGGATATTTGGGAGCAAGAACTTGCCTAATTCAAGGAAAATTACAAATACTCTCCTAAAATGATAGGATTTCTGCACTGACCAGCAAATCATTTCTGAATGTCCCTTGCCATACAGCCTATAGCCACTGGAGGTCAGCAGAGAACCCAGTCTCACCAGGGGCAGATGATGGGACTTGCTGCACTTAAAGCAGCATGACCACCACTAGGGAGAGTGATGAATTCTCCCAATCTCCCCAAATGAGAAGCCTGAAGAAGATGAGATAAAGTGAGATGATCCACAGCTGAAGCAAGGGTAAGTTTTAACTGTGTGCATATGTAGAAATTTTGGAAAACAAAGACAATTGCAAAGAAGAAAAGAAGAAGCATTTGTAATACAACCACCACTGGGGAAAATGACTATTAATGTTTTGGTTATATTTTGCTAACTTTGAATAAAAGTTGCTTAACCAGCAGTGACCTTTCAATTGAGAAAGTAATAAGCTGAGATTAGTCAAATAATAAAATGCCAGCATCGATGCTTGCAGAATGGGTATCAGCAGGTTGGAAGAAAATCCTAAAAAGAGTAACATTCTTTAATCAAGGGTATTACCAACACTCTTAATGGCACAGAAGCTGCTATCCTATATAATAAAAGGCTAATATGCAAATCGACCGAATGGTCGGTTGCTATGATGTGCACTGACCACCAGAGGGCAGATGCTCAATGCAGAAGCTGCCCCCTGGTGGTCAGTGCACTCCCACAGTGGGAGTGCTGCTCAGCCAGAAGCCGGGCTCATGGCTGGCAAATGCAGCGGTGGTGGCGGGAGCCTCTCTTGCCTCCGCAGCAGCGCCAAGGATGTCCGACTGATGGCTCCCGGACTGTGAGAGGGCACAGGCTGGGCTGTGGGACCCCCCCACCCCAGGAGCGCATGAATTTCGTGCACTGGGCCTCTAGTTGTATAGAAAAACACAAAAATCAATAACTCAGAATTGGAAAGGGATACACAAAAGTCAGATTTCGAATGTAAAATTGTTTCAGGATTACTTGAACAAAATTACTTTCCTTTTTAGGAACAAACTTACTTTCCATATTATTATCATACAATAATATGATAAAAAGTTTGTATCTAAGTAAGTCTAAAATAGTTCTTCTAACAGATATAAAAATTCTAAGGGATAAGAAAGCATTGTGTTGTAGTTTTGGGTGTTTTTTTTCCAGTTATAGGTAAAAGTGTGACTTATAATTCCTGACAATTTAGATTTGACAAAATATTGCAGGAATACTTTATTGTACTGTTGGAAGATAATGAAATAATCTACTTAAAGTACTAAATGTAGTATCTACAAAACGAACACTCATATATGCTGGCTAGTATTTATTACTCATTTATCCATCTATTTATTCAACAACTATTATTGAAATACTACTACGTGCTAGGCACCATTCCTGATGACACTCCAGCATCAGTCTGAGTTCAAAATTCTCTTTCTACATTTCCCAACTTTTTTTTGGGGGGGTGCAGTGAGGTGGCAAGGTGGTAGAGGAGGGAATTAAAGTGGCTACATCCAGCTCATACACAGAAGCAAAAGGGCTGACTAGGTAAAATCAGCCTGTTATATCCCTCTTGCCTTCTTTCCTACCCCAGTTCTAAGTTCTCAGCCTATTTACCTGTACCTTTCAACAAAGAAAGTCCTAGGAAAGGCATATAAAAGTAAGGTCAAGGTAAGGCAGAAAGCACTCCATTGAATGCTGCTAGACAGAAAGAAATGCAGGCAGCAAACCAAAGAAGCATTTCCTATAATTATGTACTCACATGGGGTTTCCTGATAAACTAGTAAACTGGCACAGAGGACTTCAGAAGGATTCCCAACACGTTCTAAGGAATGAGTTCATGCATTGCCACCCATTGGAACTACTTTGAAAATACTCACTTGGAATGTTTTATGAAAATCAGTCCCATTACACATTTTTATATATGAAAGTGGGCGATTTCATAAGCAACAAAATGGCCTCAATTACCATGCCTGCTCATGGGAGGTTTTCACTGAAAAACTGATAGAGAGAACTCTGGTCAGTTTCCAAAAGCTATAGAGTGGCTCTAAGTATTCCTCAAAACGCCAGTAAAAGTCCATTCAAGAAAATTTTAAACTCAATGACTGCTGAAGGCCTTTATCATAGTGAAACTCAGCAGAAACTACAATTAACATCACAGTACACCTGTACAGTACAGATGTGAAGCTTCTTTCACACACACACACACACACACACACACACACACACACACACCCCTTCTCAAAATCTTTAAAGCAACAAGGCCTCCCTCCCTTCTGCCTCTTTTCTTAACCAATGACAAATTACAGGTTCAGTGATTTTTTATAACAACTTTCTATTTTGCAAATATTCAAACTTATAGAGTTTGGTTCACTGCTCTATCAGAAAAGATGAAAAATACCCTCACCTAAATTTAACATTTTACAATATTTAGTTACCATACTTCTCGTTCTTGCTACACACACACACACACACACACACACACACACACACACACTTTTTATGGCAAGTGCTGAAACAAATTGAAGGATTTTTTTTTTTTTTAAGTAACTTGCCCAACTCCATATGTCCATATGACAGTAAGTAGGGGGCTTCTGATTCTACAACAAAAGATTCTACCTTAGTAAAGAGCTGGGCCACACAGTATAGAAACAAGAATAGAAACAATAATACCACATACAAGTTAATTATCTATATGCTTGCCCTATTATATTTTGATGAAAAAACAAAATAAATTTTTTAAACCCTTCACGCAGACAAAATGGAAAGTAGTGTTATAAGAATAAAAAAAGTAACTATTAACATTTTGAGCAAGGTCACTAATACTTTTTTGATTTGTTCTTCACTTGAAGCAGAGCATTTTTGAAAAAGAAGTATGTGTGTGTAGGAGAGGTGGGGATGAGAAAGTTTCTTCCAGACTTCCTACTGAGGTACTTACAGTGCTGATCACAATCAACTCTGGCAAACACTACTTGATTTTCACTTGGATATTCTTCCTTAATCACATTGGAAGCTTCCTCAAAAATTGGATGCAACATCTGGCTGAAACGACACCTATGCACAGAGAAGGATACCAATTAAAACTGAAAAGTAGACTCAATAAAATTTTATTTCAGCTATTATCCATTGATATTTAGCATATATACAATAAATAGCTTTTCAGACAATCCTGAATTAGGGATGAATTAATTTAGGGATGAATCCTGATGTCATTCATTGGAGATGAAGACAACTTTTTATTCAAAGATTGTCCAAGTAACTAAAATATTTTGGCTTATCTTTTCACCTTAGGAAAATGGCCAATATTATGGAACACACAGCTAAAGCTCTCACATAAAGGCCATGAAACATGCCTGAAATACACCCTCTAAGATATATCTACTGGCACTTGCAACTACTGAGATTTAGACATTTATAAAAGAAATTAGCTTCCTCTAAATAATGAACATACTTTTAGACTACTGTTCAAAATCACTAGACCAATTCAGAACTAGTTCAATCTAATTTTAGAGGCAAGTTAGCATACTATATAAATAAGTTATATGAAAAGGACATATAGTATATAATGAACTGCGTCCTCTCAAAATTTATCCCTGGTTAAAATGGGCTGTTGTATCTATAAACATGTTAAAAATACTAAGTCCAGGAGAAAAAAAATCTTAAATTCCTAAACAAGGCTTCCTGTCTATTTTCCTTTGTCATTTTTGTTTGTTTTATTTTTACTTTTAAAATGAGGCACAAACCCCACAATCAATATTCTAGAAACCCAACACTCTAATTCTGACTTAATCAGGCTAACCATTTCACAAATATATGCTGTGGGTCATTAAAGGGACCTGATAAGAAAGACAAAAGAACCAGAATCAGTGTACAACCAGCTGGGTTAGAATGGTCATTCTCTTATGAAAAACTATTGAGAATTTGTTAATAAAAAAAACACACCTATAATTGTTATTCTTTGCTTCCAGAGCCCTTTCCAAAGAAATTTACTTAAATGAAGCCTATGAACTCTTTAATCCATATGTGATCAGGTCATACATATTAACTATAATTCAACAAAAATATTATAAAGCCTGTGAAAGGATGCAAACTTTATACTTCCTCCCTATTTCTTTTTGTATATATCTCTTCTAACCCACTCACCTGACTTCCTAAGGAGATGTCCTAGAATATATCAAGGAGACAAATCTGTATCTTCAATCTCTTGCTTTCAAGTGGCTCTTTCCTCTTTTAGCATTCTTAAATCTCTCCCATCTGGGATAGGTGGGTGGGGTCTGTGGACATCAGGGACCGTGTCTTATTTGACTACATATTCTAATAAGCATTTCAATAGATGTCTGTTAAATGAATAAATTGACAGAATGGAAGAACTAGAGAGACTAAGACTACAGGTTTGTGGGTTCCTACAGTTTGCTAAAAATAGGGTGCTGAAGGAAAGAGAAGACAAGGGGTAGAGATTGATTGTGTGTTTTTTTAATATGTTTTTATTGATTTTAGAGAGAGAAGAAGGGAGAGGGTGATAGAGATAAACATCGATTGGCTGCCTCCTACATGTCCCCCCACCAGGGATTGAGCCTACAACCTGGGCATATGCCCTGAATGGGAATCGAACCCGAGACCTTTTGGTGCACGGGAAGATGTCCAACCAACTGAGCCACACCGGCCAGGGCAATTAATTGTTTTTTGAAGAAGTCGGTTATGGCCTAGTAAAGAATCAGTAGACAGGCTCCGGGCTTAAGGGCAAGATAAACACATACATTAAGAACGCCTTTTTTCTGGATTGTCCAGTTTGCTACCTAGTAAGCATTTAAGCACAATTCTTATTTAAAGTAGGATCTGTTTTAATACTAAAAGGCAGAAGGGGAAGATGAAATACAAGTTCAGTTGCAATATTACTAAACTTTCATATACATGTAAAGTTACATTTATAAAAGTAACATAACTAAAGTAATATATCTATTAAAAGGACCCTAAGAGTCATCTGAATCCAACCTAATGCTTGAATTAACCCTTTACAAATCAACCAAATGGGTAGAAGTCTTTTTGTGGGAACAATTTGGGGACACTTACTAGTATGATCTAGTGAAGAAAAATAATAAGCTTTGGAGTCAGACATACTGAGTTTACATCCCAGTTCCACCACTTACTAGCCATATGACCTTTCCGAGCCTCAATTTCCTCAATCTAAAATGGAAATTAAATATTTGTCTGCAGGGTAGTTCTGAGCATTAAAACCAATGTATGTAAAGAGCCTGGCCCATAACAGCATTATTAAGTACCTCCTAAGGTTTACTATCTTCTGAGGCATATCAGTATATTTAGGCAGCTCTGTTATAGAATTCTTCCTTAAACTGTGTCACATGCATATCTTCCAGAGGGAACTCAGAACTAGCCTTTGAGGCTATACAGTATATGTCTATGTCCTACAGCCAATTACCTAACTTTTTTTCAGTTGAATGAAAAGAGTACTAATTCATGAATAGCTCGAGATATTTGGGGGGATAATATGTCTTCCCAAGTAACTGCAATTAGCCCACATTTCCAATTCAGTTTTTGCAACAAGGTCAGTGGCACATTCTAGACCTCTTCCTACAACACATAAAATCTCTTAACCAAGAGAAATGCGTTCTTGCCCTAGCCGGTTTGGCTCACTGGATAGAGCGTCGGCCTGGGGACTGAAGGGTCCCAGGTTCGATTCCGGTCAAGGGCATGTACCTTGGTTGCAGGCACATCCCCAATAGGGGGTGTGCAGGAGGCAGCTGATGGATGCTTCTCTCTCATCGATGTTTCTAACTCTCTATCCCTCTCCCTTTCTCTCTGTAAAAAATCAATAAAATATATTAAAAAAAAAGAGAGAGAACTGCGTTCTAGTTTTAACTCTGTCACAATCTAGTTAGGTAAGCTTGGGAAAATGTTCCTCTGGATCTTAATTTTATTCTTAAGGGATTAGACTAAATAAGCTTCTACCTAATTTACCTTGAAAATGCTACCTTTATTATATATTTTATCAATGGCATTTTCTCTGTATATCTTAAACATTTGTTCATTAAACATTTATCTAGCATTCATTCAGTAAGTATTAATGCTATATTTATCTGCCAAGTATTATGCAAACCGCTTGGGGATTAATGGTGAACAAAGACGTGATAACTTCTCACAAAGCTAACAATAGTAGGGAGCTACTAGCTACACTACAGCATAGGAGAGTGTTATGGTTGGGTAAATACAGGGTGTTGTGGAAAGATATAAAAAGGGTCCCTGAACTGACCTGAGAGGCGGAAGAGTGACCTAAAGAAAGTGAAATCTAATCTAAGGCATGAAAGATGATTAAAATTAAAGTAGGTAAATAAGTAGATAAGAGAAGAGTGAGCCATTCAGGCAGAGAAAATACCATGACTAAAAGTGATGAAGACTATAGAATATTACAGAAACGGGAAGACCTTAAGTATAACTAGAACAGAATAGAGAGGTGGGGAAAGCAAGAGATAATAGCTATAGAGGTAGGAAGGAACCAGGTTATCAAGTAAGAGACTTATGTCTACTTAAAGAAAATCATTTAGGGTTTTAAGATGGGGTAAACTGATCCAATTCGCACTTCAGAAAAAGCCACTCTGGCTTCCTTTGTAGAAAACAGAATAGAGACACAGAAAACTAGAGGCAAAGAAAATAAATTAGGAGGCTGTCCCAGGAATCTAGCTAAATTGCAGGGCTATGGCCTGAAACAGGGTAGTGCTAACTAGTAGGTGGTTAACCTAAGAGGGCCAAATAAGGTATAGACTGTTTAGGAATAAGGATTATGTATGTGAGTGTTTCAAACTTCTCTCTAGCTGAAACTCCGTCCTGTCCCATCTACTACCTATCATGCTCTTCCTCTTGATGCTGGGAATACTGAGTAAGACTATCTCTGCCCTCAAACTTTGTTTGCTAGGACACAAAGACAGAACAATGTAGTAAGAAAGAGAAAGTGGTACACACAGTACTATAGGAACATAGCAGAGAGAATCTGATTCTGACAGGGAGGGAGGCTTCCTAGAAGTAGTAATAGATGGTATATATTTTAAATGTCATTATTATTTTTCCTTCTAAACTTGCCACACCGACATCCTCACTTCCAAACACTTCCCTACTTCCTCAATCAGGAAAAATACAGAATTGCAATGTGTACTCAAATTTGTGTGGGGGAGGGGAGGGAGAGGGGAAAAGGGGAAGAGAGGGAGGGAGAGCGAAAGAGAAAGAGAGAGATTTGAGTCTTTATGTTACCTATTTTTATTTTAAGATGTAGGATAATGAAATCAGGTATATATCTCTCTTAAAACACAAATGCTCACCAAATTAAGCTACTTCATTTGTGAATGAACCTTAACTGATTTTGTATACAGAATATTATCTCACAAAAAAGAAAGGCTTTCCCACTAACCCCTTTCTAACAAAGAAAAATTCACCTTTACCAAGTTTAACCACAGAAATAAGATTACTTACCAGTCAGCATAAAAATTTACTAAAGCAACATCAGCATTTCCTGAAATTGAAAAACAAAACCAAACAACCTAAGTTATTTGTGTCTGCATAATTTTAATATAATTAATGATGTGGTTTTCATCATGGTCTGTTTCCACTGTAAGGGTCCACTAAAAAGACACAATGACAATTAAGTTACCTCTTGCTCAGAAACCCATACATATAGTCATGGACAATTGATATTATTTGTAGGAGTCCCTGTTCCTTCTCTCTATATATCAGGCAAGTAAGCTAATAAATAGCCTACTCTCATAAAAAGTGAAGTAGAATGATCTGGATTTTAATAATCCACTTCTGACCTTAAGAATAACTGAGAATTAGTTCTGTAAGTAAAATCCTATTTCATAGAACAGACCTGAATAACCAAGATCTGATGCCCTACCTAGTTGTAACAAGTAACCTGCTGCTAATAAATGTACTGTTTCCTCTCCACACAAGTTATTCTCTGTTGCAAAAATAACTTAGTATCACTTGCATATCCAGATATGAAGACATCAGAAAGATATATTTGTTCCTTTCTCCTAAATCTAATACAGACAAACAGAAACTCCTCAAGTACTCACAAAAATAAAACATGAAGATATTCTAGAATTTGGAAGAATAAAGAAGTGAGAATGTGAGAGTTTCAATTCCCTTCTTCCTCTTTTACCTTTTCCTTATTCTCTAAAGCGGTGGTTTACAAGCTGTGGTCCCCTGACCAAGAAGCACCAGCATCACACAGGAACTTAGAGAAATGCAAATTCTTAGGTGGAGTCAAGCAGTTTCTATCAGAAACTGAGGGTCAGGCCTACAGTACAGATAGTAATAAGTCCTCCAGGGGATTCTGATATATGCTAAAGTGTATAGAACCAGTGCTCTAAAGAGATCCCATAAAGTGGGGGTAGACTTTTAGCATTTAAAACCAGTTCCAAGAACTTAAAACAATGATGATGCTCAATGAATATACCCCTTTACCTCTATTGTTTTTGGTTTTGTTCTGTTTAAAGCAGTGGGTTGAAAGGAGTGCTTAAAAGAACCATTTGTACACATTGTAGATTTTCAAATCTCCTAAGTTGTGATCTCCACCTTTCCTCTACTACCTTTAAGAACAAGAATGTTTTCCCCAACATTAACTAAACACTGTCAGGGAGCAAAGCATTCAGTAAAACACTTATTAAACTTACTTGGATCAATGACAATAAAAGAAATCAGAGTAGGTGACTTAGTTAAAAGTTTAAAAAGACAAAATTTTAGCTGTGTCCTAAAGTCATTAACATTTAGTACTGCACAGTGAAAGAATTGTTAGGAGTGGTATTTATGACAAGGCAAAGAAATAAAACAGGACTACAAGTTTACTTTACTTGTAACACACTTCAAGAAATTTTATTAAAAACTGAAACCAACAGTGCTTTAATTCAGTAAACCATAGAATTATCAGAATGCCAGCTCTTCAATTGTTCCAGATAGATTATACATAAAAACAAAATAGAATCTCAATGAACTCTTTATAGAGCAGAAAATATACTTAATATCAAGGTACTTACTTAAAATGTCATCTATATTCTCTGTATCAAGACTTGTTATTTCAGTTGTTACAGGAGTAAAAACCCAAGTTATCTGGAAATTTCAAAAAAGTGAAATTAATAAATGTTTCCACAAGAGGCAAAAAGATCTAAAGAGAAAATTTATGAATAAAGTTGGTTCCATTTGTCGAGTTACAAAATTGGTTTTAAGCATTATTGTCTACTTTAACCCTTCACTAGATCAATGAAATTGGAGAAGTACAACTTTTAAAGCCTGGAAACTGGTCAAATAAGACTTCCTATGCTTTCAAATACATAAAAGAGGTTAATTCTAAAAAATTAAGTAAATTAAGAATTATTCATTCTTTTAAACACTTTCAACAACTTTATCTCTGTAGCAACACACAAAAAACAATTGCCAGATGATTTTCAGTTTTGAAAGAATATAAAACCAAAGCTAAGTTTGCTGATTCTATCCTACCATGTTTCTAAGACAAAACAAAATAATGAAGAGAATTAAAAAAGATTCCAAATTGTGACCCAAAAGCCCTTCTTGCCTCATCTTCATTACTGGTGGTAACAAAACGTTAAGTGGTAGACTATTAAAAGGAGAATAAGAATGTTCTACTTCCACTTTAACATGTCTGAAACAAAGTTCAAATTTATCAAAGAAAATCACAGCTCGCTATCCACAAAACAAAGAAAAAATACAATGTTAAACTAAACTAGTAACTGTTCACTTATTTAAAAAATATATTGTGTATTTTTATCTTTATGTGCCCATCTTTTTTTTTTTTTAATATATTTTTACTGATTTCAGAGAGGAAGGGAGAGGGAGAGAGAAACAGAAACATCAATGATGAGCTGCCTCCTGCACAATCCCTATTGGGGGTTGAGCCTGCAACCCAGGCATATACCCCTGACTGGAATCAAACTCACGACCCTTCAGTCCACAGGCCGACGCTCTATCCACTGAGCCAAGCTGGCCAGGGCTATGTGCCATCTTTAATACATTATGTGTTCTGAGGCCTGGACAGTTTATTTGTTCAAACCAGAGTTTGTGTGTGGAAATTCATTCACTGAATCATTGCTCTTTATTGAATGACAATTAATGTCAAGCCTTAAGGTACTAACTAAACACTACTCCTTTGCCCATTCATTTCATGGACACTTCAGTACTCACAACAGTTACAACTCAGAAATTTTATAATTCACCTACAGTTCAATTTCTAAATGGTATCACGAGACATGCTGATGCTTGTATGTAAACAAGCCCAGCTAATTATTTGAAATATTTCTATAAATTTATTGTTTTCTTTATTTTTTTTTAAATTCTCACTCAAGTATATTTTTTCCATCGATTTTTTTAGGGGGGGGGAGGTGATGGAGGGGGAGAGAGAGGAAGAAACACCAATGTGATAGAGACACATCAATTAGTTGCCTCCCACATGCCCCAACTAGGCTGGGAATCAAACCTTTGACCCAGGTATGTGCCCTTGACTGGGAATCGAACCCACGACCCTTTCGTGCACAGGCCTACCCTCTAAACTCTGAACCACATCAGCCAAAGCTAAATTTATTATTTTCTTAGAAAAAGCCTAGGAATAACACTAGTCTTATTTTCAAGTTTCCACAATAGTGTAACCAATAGCTAACTAGTATCTCTTTTAGCAACCAATAAATTATACTATCCTAAAAGTAAGCTAATTTAACATCCCTGAATATTTGACCCATATAACTAAATGCATTATTTTCAACACCTCAAAACTGTAAAGTCTCATGAGACTTCCCTCACAAGTCATTACTTACCATCCATACCTCAATTAACAGGTCCTTCCCCTCATCAGTGTACGACCTGCTCTATAGGTTCCCAGTGTAACCTCTAAAAAATAATCTGAGGCCTATTAAAATTTTTAAGACTTTATTTGAGCAAATATCAATTCAAATCAGGTAGCATCTACTCTGGCAAGTAAAAGAGAACTCTGAGGACCTGTACAAAAGGAAGACTTTTATAGGCAGAGGGGGTAGGAACAAGGAAGTTATACCAGGCAAAAAAAATGAGTTGGTTATTGCTAAGTTACTTTCCTTTGCAGCGGCTCTCAACCTGTGGGTCGCAAACAATGAAAATTCATCCTGCATATCAGATATTTACATTATAATTCATAACAGTAGCAAAATTACAGTTATGAAGTAGCAACGAAAATAATTTTATGGTTGGGGTTCACCACAACATGAGGAACTGTATTAGGTTGAGAACCACTGCTTAGGGGATGACAGAGGTCTATCAGGCAGATTACCTAACTAGTGCTGATCAGGCAATTCCTTATTGACTGGTTTAAGATTCCATTTCTGAGAGCTGAAACATAATTCTGGCTGGTGATGTGGGACCTGGCATAAGTGATTTCATTTTGGAGCCTGTTGACCAATTATATTGGTCAGCAAGATTGTGTATTAAAAATAATTCAAGAAGATGATGCAAAAATATCATAAAGCAACAAAATTGGTCATTACCAAAGTCAAGTTATTAGATAACTCAACAGTCTTTATTATGGAGTGTCTGCAGGTACTAAAGGCACAAATGCATCAGGCAAGGTATAGGTATGCTCTCCCTCAAGGAGCTCTCAAAGTAGTAGTGGTATAATGAAGAAAGAAAAATGTGGAAAAGATACAATAATAATCTTAGTTGTACAATCCAAAGAAGCTCATTTGTTAATAGTTATTGCCAATTAAAATATATGTTTACAGAGAACTATATTCTAAATTTAATTGATTTTACATGCTAGGCAACAACAAAAATGAGGCAATGAAGGATCAATTTGGCTGTACTAAATGCATAACAATTACTTAAGAAACATAGTGCTAATAAACATGCAACTAATAAGACTATGCAGTTAACTATTGTGATTAAGAGGGCCCACAGCAAGAAAACTGTCTCTGACCCAATAATCTCTCCTCAGCCACCTTGGGGTGTAAAGGAGGCATTTATCATTAACATTTCTATTAATATGCAGTATTAAGGGAAAGACAAGTTGTTTATTTGAATTGTTAGCAAGCGCCACTAGTCTGACAAATTGCTTCTTTTCATGTCAGCCCTGGGCAGGAATAAGATTCTCCTGGGGAAACATCTTTATGTGTCAAATGCTATAGCAAAATAAAGACAAGTCGCTCTAAATCAGGAAGGGATGAAGGTAGTCATTAATTTAATTTTTAAATTTAGACTTGTAAGATTTTAAATTTATTTTTTAAAAAGGAACAATGAAACCTATACAGAAATTTTGAATGGAAGATCTTAGTAGTCATGGAGAATATGGTTTATTGATGGAATATTTAAATGACATATGTAAATATGTAAACATAAACATGAACTATTTTATAAATCAGTCATTCTCTTCAGTTCATTAGTTCATTTTCTTGCCAAAAAAACACACACAAAAAACCACAAAACAAACAAACCCTGAGAGGCATCTCCAATCATCTTTTATAATCCGTTAGGTAATTCCTTCCACGTACATTTATTGGACCAAATACTAAACATTCCAGTCAGAGATGTGTCTAGTGATATGATCTTATAGAAAAGGCACATCAGTGAAATGGTAAATATTGCACCACATTCATTTTAAAAATTAAAGCGACAGACTAGCTTTAAGTAGGAGCTTCTGTAGCAAGTAAGTAATATTTTCTTCCATTACATGGATTTTAAACATTGAGCTATCTTTGGGAACTAAGAAACTTCCCTTTCCTTAAATTTCTCTGTACCTTCCATGACCCCCCTAGTGATGCCAATACACTGTGGTATTGCCATAGCACATTTGAAGCCACCTAGCAGCCAGCTGCTTTTCCCAAAACACACCCAGAAGTTTTCTGCTTCCATCTCTCTTTGTACATGGTTCCCTCTACCTGGAATGTCCTCTTCTCCACTAATGCATAATTAACCCTTCAGTCATAGATTCCCTCTTCCCTGAAGCTTTGTGGGCTTTCCCCGGTAGAAAATACATTTTCTTTCTCAAAAGCCTAATCTACTTCACAGAAACAGAAAAAGGGGAATGTAGGGCAGGGAAACAGAAGTTACTGTGAAATTAAAATTCTCTCTAGATTAGTCATCAAGTTAAAATAAGATACAATGAAAATTTGATTACATGATAAAAGTATTTTAGAAATAAATTTTGGAAAGATTTTTTTATTAAGCACTCTCTCTCAATGTTAGGCCAGACTCTGTTAAGTATTAACACCACCAGCACATAAAAAATGCTCTGGCACTCTCTGCTAAGCACAGTGTTATTTCCTTTCAAAAAAATATTAACTGAATAAGTCATTAACCCAACTGGACCTTCTTCAGAGTATGCACTAACATCAATAACACATATTGGCAGTGGATTACTAAAGCTTCTCTGTTCATAATTTTATAAATAAATGTTTCTAGTACATTAAGATCAAGTCTTACCATTCAAATATACCCTTAATGGGAACTACTAGGACACTCCCTTCAATCCAACCTGCCCATAGAGGCCAGACTAATCTTTTTGAATGCTGATTTGCATGTATTAATTCCTCTGCCCAAGAAAAACCTCCAAAGGTTTTTCACTGTCTACAATATAAAAGCCTAACTCCTTAGCCTGGCATTAGAACCATTCACAAAGTGGCTTTCCTGAATCACAACCTACTGCTCCCCATTCATAATCTATACTCCAACCAACATAAACTATAGTTAGAGTAACCAATCTAATTGGCCATATTCTCTAGCTTGAGACAAATCCTGTTTATGCTTGTTGCCTTGGAATATTATAGCACTACCCCGTTTCAAAAGGGGTTTAAGCAATAAATTATATGGCCACCCTATTTGCAGCAGTCCCCTGGCAATTGAGAGGAATTGTAACAAGCTCTTCACAAATCCTAAATTCTTAATAAACATATAATGTCCTCCCACATAACATACAGTAAAATGACAAATGGAATGAGAGTAAAGAGAATAAATAGGAACTAAAATATAATGCTAAACCAATCACTAGCCTCACTCATTGACTTGAAACAATAGGCTCTTAGCCAGGGTATCAAAAGAGTTACAGAAAAATTACTACATGACCCTTCAAGCGTAACTCACA